TAAAGCCATCTACGGAATAAGAATCAACAGAATGCGGGAATCCAGTCATAAAGGACAGTCAGGTGTGCTCACACATACTCAAGAAATCAAAAGGATAATTAGTTCATTCGTGTCCCTCTTATTATCGTTATTTTTTAGAAAAAACTGAATTCCTTGAATGGGAGAATTTGTCATTTGCGTTAGATTGTTTTGCTTTTCATCAAACAAAAATGCATGCTTGTGAGCATGCTGAATCTAGTTACAGGCAGAGAAAATGACCTCTCTGCCCTCCTCAGTGACATTGTGAAGGTCGTCCTGCTAAGGGAATTGGCCTCACGCTGCCCCAGGGACAGACACGCTCTCCTTGCATCAGGTCTCGGCTTTCCTGGGTCTCTGTGTGGATGAAAAGAGGTATCACCTGAAAAGGGCTCTCAGGAACGTTGCTTGACTGCTTCCCGTTTTTCAGATGAGGAAACTGAGGCTTAGAGAAGTGGCTTGACTGAGCTCACACAAGTAACAATATGCAGCATTAAAAAATAGAAGATCTGCTAAATACCCATCCGGCAGAGCAGTAATGCCATCTCCATTCATTTATTCATTCTTTCACCCGTTATGTGACCCAGGCATTCCGCTAGGTGCCTGTGCACAAAAAATGGGCACAACGAGATTCTCACAGAACTCGTGGTACAAGAGCAATTTGAGCCAAGATAGCATAAATTATGGTAATTATGGTAGAGATGATACGGGAGATGATGGGGAAGATGGAGGATGCTGTGAAAGTCCCCAAGAGGGGCACCGGAGCCAGTCCTGAGGAGGAGAGGGAAATCATGCAGGAGGAAGCTTCTAGGCTGAGCTGTGAAGTTGAGGAGAAGGAAGCTCAGTGAAAGGAGGAAGGGGAAGACAGAGAAGAGAGTGGCAGGAAGGAGGAACCACACAAGCGAAGGCTTATAATTAAGAAAGGTGATTTAAGTAAGCAGAAATGGTTTGGTAAGACCAGGGTTTAATAATATAATGATAATAATGCCAAAAATTATTGAGCCCACTTACAGGATGGACATACACCAAGAGCCAGAGAGAGAAAGATACCACGGCACCACCAGAGGCCAGGGACGTGGACATTTCACGGAGGAAGTGGCCGGTGTGCCCAGGGCTACCCAGAGGTCAAGCCGGAGGGGGTCCGAGGGGTGGCTGGCGGTCATTAGACTCAGCGACCCGATTCAGCAACCGCTGGCAGGAACAGTTTTGGTGGTGTGAGGAGGGCCCTAGCCACCCTGTGGTGAGAATCTGTGAGGAGTGAGAGGGGAGGAAGTTAAAACAATGGGTTCGGGTGTCTATGGGGGAGTAGAGAGATCAGACAGCACAGCTGGGAGGAGGCAGAAAGTCAGGAGAGAGCACATGTCGGGGGTGTGTGTGTGTGTTGTGGGTTTTTGATAAGATCGTATGTTTAAATATCGATCTGGTCAGAAAAACTTGTTGAGCAGGAGGATTCAAAGTCAACAGGAAGAAAGAGCTTAGCTGATCAAATGTTGCCCCTAGGAAGGTAGAAGATATACACCTGAAAACCACGGTTATGATGGAGACAACAAGGGAAAGGCTGCACGTGGGTGCAGGGGAGGGAAGGCGCTCCTAGCTGGCATTAGCTGGAGAACGCAGCGGGAACTAGGGACGCAGGGCTTTGTTTTTGTTTATTTGCTTAGCATTTGGGGCGGGGCGTTTTCTTTGTTTGCTACACGCCATGCTTTTCGCTGGCGCTTTTACAGACGCCAGCTCCATTTATTCCCACAGCAGCGCTGCTCCACAGGCAGCACGCGTGACGCCCTCCCGTTTTCCACTGGCGGCAACTAAAACTTACAGAAGTCAGGTCAATTCCCCAGTGACACACTGGGGAGAAGAGCCAGGTTTCCCTCCCGTCCATATGACACCAGAGCAAGGTTTTTCTAGATGTGTGTGTGTGTGTGTGTTTTAAGATTTAAAAGCATTTAATGACATAGCATCTATTTAACAGATAAGGCAGAAGTCAAGAGGTTCAGGTCGTCCGACTGAGCATACGAGTGACCCCCTCTGCAGTTCCCAGGTGTGTCCCAGGCGTGTCTGCCTGCGTTTGCAGGCAGAAGGGAAAGAGCGAGGGAAGGGAGCAATGAAAGGGGCAAAAGAATGGAACCTGGCAAAGGGCAAATTCTAGAGAAGGAGAGGGATCATGGAGAAGGGGAAGAACTTGACTTCCTTAAAGTCAAAAGTAGAGAAAGAGAGAGCGGGGCAGGTGAAGATGGAGAGAAATGGTCAGGGAGGGACATATCTGAGCCGTGTCAAGGTGAGCAGCCTGGATCTTCTTTATTCATCTGGGGTGAAGTCCCTGCAGGGTCTGCCTCTACCGCTAGGTTTTGGAGCTACAGTGGAAACAAATCAGACAAAGGCATCACCTCACAGAACTCGCAAGCCAGCCCAGTGTAACAGACATCAAGCAATTATTTAAAACAATGAAATAATTACAAACGCAGTGTGTGCTGCAGTGCGGACACCTGAGAGTGGAAAGAGCTACTTTGGAAAAAATGACTAGGAACCTAGGAGGGAACAGGCAAACAACTGCGAAGACCTAGATTTCAGTTCCTGGGGAGGGTTACGAGGCACCAGGAAGCGAGCAAGGGCGTTGATTTTGGGGGTGTGCCCATCATTCACAGACAGGACCATCAGTTCCAGGCTGGCAAACAGAACTTGGAGAAAGGGAGGAACCAAGTAGTTGGGACATTAAAAAAAAAGGAAGACGCTAAGCAGGAGGTTAAAAAAAGCTGAAGTTAGAGGGGAACTTTTTAAATAACCACGGCAAAGAAGTTTTGAGGCTGGCACCACATCAAATGTTTTGTGAACAAATGGCATTTGCTCCTCAGAGCAAATCTATAGCGTAGATTCTGCAGTTTTTACCATTTCACAGTAGAGGAAAATGAAGCTTCGAGAACTTAAATAACTTGCCGAAGGTCACACGGTTAGCAAGTGCAAGGATGCCGATCTGCAGAGCCAGCACTCCTACGTGAGACGGGCGTCCAGTCCACAGCCCTGCACCACGATGGGGCCCAGGGGATGCCCGCGCCAGCGACGGCTGAAGGGTTGGGGAGGCTGTGCCACCGCAGCACAAGACAAGGAGGCCTCCAGCAACACCACGGAGATGACGACATTTCCAGGAATGATGGCAACGGAGGAGGTGGGGAGAAAATGAAAAAGTCACTGCGGGAGGCGGAGGAGTAGGAGAACGGGCTTGGCCGGCAGAAGCCAACCAAATGACACGGAAGGCAGCTCACACTGACTCCGTCGGGGTGGGGGGTGGGATTTGGAGGAAAATGTGTGGTGACCTCATACTCAGATTGCGACTGTCTGGCCGCACCGCTGAGGCAGCCTGCCGACCCTGCCCATCCCGCCTGGGGCGGCAGGACCACTGTCTCAGCCAGAAGCACCAGTTCTGATCCAAGGCGGGCCCATAATTAGCACATTCAACTTCGCCAAGTCTCAGCACCCGCATCTGTAAAGTGAGGGTGGCAGATCCAATGGACCCTCCCAGCAGGGGGAGCACTCTTGGCCCTCATCACAACTTCGATGTCCCTGCATCACACTCAGCTCTCAGCTGACGGTTTTCCATCCTCCTCATCCTCATCATCGCCAACATCAAGGACTTACCCCAGGCCACGTTCTGGGGTAAGTAATCCTTACACCAACCCCGCTATCAAGGCAGAGGGGCTGGAGTCAGACAGCTGGTTCTGAATCCAGTGTGTCCTTGGAAAAACACCTGAGCATCTCAGAGCCCAAGTCTTCTCACTTTGGAGCGTTTAAGTGAAATGTCCGTGGACACTTGGCCAGTAAGGATGGGAAAGTAGATTTACACCTGCGTGACTTCAGAGCCCACCTGGCCTGCCTCTCCTCCGGTGACCACTGGCGGACCCCACATTATCACCTCCTCCAAAGGAGGGATGGACAGTAACCCCAAATCAGACAGTATGCTGAAAGTACACCACAGCAGGGCCAGTTTGGCTCACAGAGCTGGAGAGTCTCCCCTGGGACCACACCTGCCATCACCTCCTCTGTGGTGACAACAGAGGCCACCAGATACCACCTGCAACCTGGAATCTGTCTAAACTCTCTTCTTTTCCGTGGCTCTGACACCTGCCTTAAGGGTCCCTCCCGGGATGCGGGGTGCCTCACAGAGCAGACAGGTACATTTGCCCACTGTGACTGGGGGACACAGTAACAGAGTACAGCTGAGTGACCTTTTAAAGAAGTATCCTCTTTTGGGCAGCCTTGACCCAAGATGTATTTGCCTGCATTTCCAGGGCAGGCTTCAGAGGGGAGGGGGGCCAAAGCACTTGAAATCTGGCAGGAGTTTGAGGGAAGAGCTTGAGATGGGGAAGAAGGAGAGACAGGCCTGGGAGGGTCTGGACCTGAGAAGCAACACTGCGGCAAAAATGCCCTGGAAAGCTCACAGAGCCCCGCACAGACCGCTGGGATCACAGCCTTCCTCCTCCACTCGCCCTCCACTCTCAGCCCCGGCCTCTCCCCGCCCTTTCATGTTCCCAGGGCTGGCTCTGAGCAAGGCAGGGTGGAGGGTGTCTGTGCAAAGAGAAACTTCACCCCGGAACATTGGAAGTGAGATGGGGGTGGAAGACCCCCCCCCACCGTGGCTGCAGGAGCCCCTCCCCTTCTCCGGAGCAGATGGCCGCAGCCGGCTTCTGTGCTCGGACTGCTTGTCTCCCACTTGGCCCACCTTTCCTGCCCCTGTGACCTAGCAAAGGAGCTGTATGCAACTAGAGCCAGTGGCATTTCATCTTCCCATCTACCTCCTTTCCTCCCTCCTCTGTCACCTCCCACCTCCTCACAGCGAGCCTTTTGTCTGGTCCTTTCCCTGACTCCTCAGCATCTTCCCCTGCCCTCCTCCCTTTCCTTCTGTCCTCTGTCCCTTTTTGCTCCTCCTTCCATCTTTCTCCTTCTCTCCACCCGGACCCTCTCCTTCCCTTCTGCTTGTCCATAAACTGCAGTTGGTTCAAACGCAGGATGCCAGAGCATCTCCGAAAGGCTCATCGGCATCTCCTGGCATCTCTCAGAGTGACCTGCTTTGTCAGCCGCGCTTCCCCTGCCTGGGCACCCCTCCCCCCACCCCCAAGCACCATCCCCCCACCCCCACCCTCCGTGTTCCCTCCCCAATACCCCGAGAGCTAGA